TCCAAGCTCAGGTCTATATATCTGTCACTTTAGACGAGTAGTTCAGGCTTGTGTATATTAAGCCTGTAATCACTTTGAGTTAATCAACGACTCGCAACAGACCACTTAACAAGCGTTAAGCTTTAACACTATTCATTTGTTTTAGATGAATAAAGAACACTTTCACTATTATATTAAAGTACGTACCGCACTTCATATTCAACCAAGAGTTATTTAGGATGAACTATATTCTATCCATGGTGACCAAGCTTCTTCTTTTATGGCAGCTAAAAGATGGGCTAAATGGTTTCATGAAGGCCGGGAAGAATTTGAAGATGAAGCACGACCTGGCAGACCTCTTACCAAAACAACATCTCAAAATAGTGAACAGGTCCGCCTTCTTATCGATGATGATCCTCATATTACAATAGAAGAGTGGCAAGAGCAAACTGATTTAAGTCATGGCACCATTCACAGAATCACTACCGATCATTTAAACCTTAAGAAGGTTACCGCTCGTTATATACCAAAGGATCTTACCGATATTCAACGGGCTGAACGAGTTCGAATATGCAAACAAAATTTAGGAAAATTTCAAAAAAGAACATAGCGTTTATGTGATATAATAGCTGGTGACGAGTCATGTTTTTATCATACAATAATTGGTCGAAGGTCATCGAATGCAGCGTGGGAGAGAAGAGGAGATTCTCCATCTACTGTAGTTCGACGTAGTATGTTTGCTCCAAAAATCTTATTTTCCATCTTTTTTTTAAGTCAAATGGTCCTGTTTTCATTCGGGATTCGAAAACTTCGCCAATAAGACTTTCGCCAATTAGTGAATATCCAGGCGGACATATTCACGAAAGTCGAATAGATTTTCATTAATGATAGTGAAACATTCATATCGTAAGTGATGTAAAAGAACTATGCCTAGCATTATAAAAATGTACCTCAGATCATATAGTTAAGAATATTGCTGATATCGATCTCTCTAATGAATACTCTCGTTCTACTAAAACTTGAGAAAGTTCATTGGAAATTCGCCCATTGGCGAAAGTACACGGGATATATTGAAGAAATTCTTATTGGCGCACTTCCGATAACCGTTTCATTCATTGTTTGGAACGTAAACAAGTTATTGATCATCAGCATTATATCAACAATTGTTTACGACCTCTTGTCGCTGAAATCAAACGTCAAAGACCTACATACGACACTCGTGGTATTAAAATTCACCATGATGATGGAAGGTCACATATTCATAAAGATATGTTCAATTATTTTGCATCAGAAGGTCTCACAATAATACCACATCCATCTAATTCTCCAAATTTATCACCATGTGCCTTTTGGTTATTCGATTTATTTAAACAAAATCTAACTGATCAAAGTGATTCAGAATCATTATGTGATGCTGTGACCGATTTCATATATTCTTTAAATAAAGAGGAATATAGAAAACCCTTCAAGAAATGGATTCAAAGAATGCAATTGTGTATAGATAACCAATGTGATTATTTTGAACATTTAATAAAATAAACAATTGTTGGACTTGTTTCTCATGCATTTCTTTTCTGTTCCATCACCATTATTTTTTGTGCATTCTGAAATATATGGATGCCTAGTTATTATAACAGATAAGAAAAAGAAGATGAAAGAAAGAAGAAGAGAAAAATAAAGAAAATACGAAAAGAAAATACACATGGATGATAATATGCACTATTACTACCAGCTGGAGTTACATAAAAAAAAACTTTTTTTATCAAAATTTTTTTATTATGATATCATTTGAATAGTGATCAAATAGCATAGAAAAATAGAGCAACAGACACTCTATCTGTTCATTAAAAAAAAAAAAGAAAATTTCTCCAAGCCTTCTATATGAAAATAAGGTATCCGGGTCACTACTTTTGATATGACATGAGCATTTAATATCTAAAATATAAAATATAAAATATTATTTCTAAAGTATTTAATATTTCGTTGATACGCCATTATTGGGCGGTGACAGACAGTCATTAGCATATCATGAAAAACGTAGAAGTTATGTATTGAAGATGTATACAACAATATAAATAACACTTTTTAACATTACGATGTTTAATGAATCAAATAGACTCATAGAAAAGTTATAAGTGTTAACATTTTTGAAATGATTAACTTTCACAGCGCACGTATCAACTATAAAAATTGTTATAATTTTGATTTATTCATTTATTTGACATAAATTTTAATGAATTATTTTAAAATATGTGACACTATATTGTAAATTTATAACAAACAGAGTTTATGTGTTCCACATTTTAGACCCTTTTGTGGTCGCACTGACAAGTTTTTTTTATCAGACATTTGCATCATCCTATTAGAATTTTTCTTGTGTAAGAAAAAGTTGATCACAGGTTTATCATACAGGCAAATCTATCAGATTATTTAAAGAGTGCGTACCTTGAAACAAAACTAAAATAATATATATGCTTTGTTGTTATTCGTCTAAACAAGGTGATTCATTATCCAAATTCAAAACATAATAAAAAAACGAATAAAAAACTAAGAAGAATCGATTTTGCTAAATAATTAAGTATATGTATTATATGAGAAACCTTCAGTTATTATTATGAAAATCAATAGTCCTTTATTTTGTTCCTCGACCATGATTCTAACCACTGTTTTTTTGTCATTTTTTTATTCTACGTTATCTCGATGGAGGGAGAGAAAGAGAGACAATTAATATCATTCTTGGTTGGTACATGTGTTTATGTGGTGAATAGTCACAAGAAAAAGGTATAACTAAGCAGATATTTACGGCGATCGGTAGTTATATGATGATGATGATAAGCAAATATTGTCAAAAAAATGCAGGAAGAGAACAAAAGAGAAAAAAATTTTCAACCATAAGCATTTAGAAAAAAAATTCTGTACGATACGCTTAAGTAAGTCGAAGGACTATCGTTATTATGTTACTCTTGCCTATGTATAAAAGCAAGGAGAAATATTGTGAATAATTACATTCATTGTTATCTTTCTGATTAGGCATTCATTGACTAGATACAACTGGTGATTATTTATAACCATGAGTTTCGGCGCTGCTCGTGCAACCTTCAATCAATATGACGTTAACCGTGATGGTTATATTGATCGAGGTGAATTCAATCAATGGAGTGGTGGTGCTACTGGTGCAATTGACTATCAATCA